CTTTAAAATATATTTAAAAATTTTAATGATTCCAAACGTCCAAAAGTGCAATTCAAATGATCTCAGAAGTATCTGAATCTCTCTATGTGGCGTTTGGTATAAACAAGCCAAACAAACAAATCAATGAATTGCCATTCAGGATCACATAAACTGGAAAATTATTAAAATATACAGATATGATCTGGCTACAAAGAGCATAATTATCCATTGACGACCAATAAAAAGTAATTGTGTTTTCTGACTGAATAAAATTGTGCGCAAATAACATATAATCCTCAAATATTTCATTATATTATAGTATTTACCAGCATCCAATTTTGTCACCACTTAGCATAGTCGCTAATGGGACCATGTACGACTGAAACATAGACTGTAAAAAAGATGGACGACGCGTCTCCTATTCCTTCCACTATAGAAAAGTGAAGCCAAAGCATCTCAGTATGGCCGCTGCCATCTTGAGTAAATGACGTCATTTGGAGCCCGAGTCTGCGCAGTAGAGATTAGTTTGAAGCCAGAGTCTGCGCAGTAGTGTCGAGAGGTGGAGCCGCGGTATCCCGCAGACCCAATCAACCATAACGACACGCCCCGTTTTTATAGATTCAATTTTCTAGCTAAAATCAAACTTATCACAAAAACGAACAATTGAACATATATCAGTGTGAAAACAGCTACCTTAAAAGACCAAAACCATAACTCGGAAAATTGTATTGGAAGCATAACTTATTTTTTTATTTTGACTCAAGTCCCATTCGTTTACATAGAGAGGGCGAGTTTTTAAACTGTACTGCAGCCAGTCACCAGGGGGTGATCAAAGATCCCGCAGCTTCACTTTTCAGGATGTGTGAGGCCCACCCGGACTGAAACAACCACTGAGATGTATGGGAATGCTAACGCATTGCTCTCTTCAGGTATTATTTGTCAATATTACACGGCTCTGTGGAATACTTGATTCTGATTGGTCAATCGCGTTTTTTAATTCTTACTCCTTTTGTTGCTATAATATATTTAAATAAAAATGATAATAGATCTAAAAATACATTTTAACAAATCAAATAAATTTATAACAATATTTATTTATAATAAAAATATTTATATTATTTACATATAACTTTTATTTCTTAATAATAATAATAATAATAATAATAACTATTATCATTATGATTATATTGTATTGTATATACATTTATAAAAAAAAATTAAAAATTAAGTTAATAAAAAGTTTTCTTCAGCATTAAACTGATTATAAGTAACAGTAAAGACATTTGTAAAGAGATTTCACAGTAAAGAGATTACTACTATTACAGTGAAGACTGCAGAAATGATGCTGAAAATTCAGCTTTGCATCACAGGAATCAATTATATTTCAAAATATATTAAAATATAAGAGAGCTATTTTAAATTGCAATAATATTTCACAATATTGCTGTTTTTATTGTATTTTTGATCAAATAAATGCAGCCTTGGTGAGTAGAAAAGATTCAAAAAACATCAAAATCTTTCATACTTCAAGTATATATAGACATATACTTTTTTAAATAACATTTTTATACCATTTTACTATTGCATTTAATAGGTAGCAAATAAGTAGCGATAAATAATAAAGGCATGCAGTAAAAAGTTTCCAAGAAAGTTTAAATGTGACTTTTATGTTTTAAATGACTAACTCAACCTCCGGGACATAAAAGTGCCTGTTGTTGAAGAAACATCCATCCAGCCTCTCTTCTCACCTTCTCTTATCATGCGAACGGTTTCCATCTCCTCAGGGATTGTGGGTAGGCCACATCAATTACTCTGTGACTCCAGCCCATCACTCAACAGGGGCTTATTAATAAGTTCAGCTTGTTTTATTGTGGCTTTCTGGCCTATTAGAGCTCGTGAGAGAGCGACCCGGCGACCGCAGCCCAGCCTTCTGGATCTGGATTCCTGTGGGGGGGGAAATGTGCGACCCTGATAGATTCACCGCAGCTCTCTGGCCTCTGCGGCCTGCGCTTTACTCAGCAGAACGCTCGGTTTTGTCTTCGGGGGCCATCAGACAAGCCAAACGTCTCATTTGCGGTGCTGCTTGCAGGTTTCGGGGGGAACAGAGGGGTAATAATAGGGTTTATGAGTGAGACCTTGACATAAGAGCTGGATCCAGAGTAAAAGAGGCGTGCAAAAAAAAAAGCATCGGAAGCCAAACTATCCGCCGTTCGCTCGGGAAACAATGTCCCTGATATTCAGGCTGCTGTCTTCGAGAGTGTGTGTATGTTTGTTTCTGTTTGGATGTGGCCGGATGTGAAGCCGGTTGCTAACTTAAGGATTCATAATGCCATCCTGAAGTGTTTTATGACTTTTCCAACTATTACGGTCAACGCTCCCACGATCTGTTTTCAGCTTCAGAGTACAAAAAAAAAAAAACACACACAGATAAAAAGTGTCTTTTTCTTATGAGCATCAGTTTCTGTCGCTCACTAACGGTAATACTGGCATTCAAGTTCAGTGTGACTAAACGACAAAGTATAAAATATTCATTTTTTGTGTTTTAAAAAAAAATTGGTGAATCTCACAACAAATATCCAGATCATATTATAACTCCCCCCCCCCAAAAAAGAGGGAGAGAGAGAAAAACAAAATATTAATACATTTCAAAAAATGTAATAAAAATGATACGAGATTTTAAAATATTTTTTAAATCTTATACATTTATGAACAATATATTAACTATATTTTTTTATTATTAGTAGTAGTAGTACTCTGAATATAAAAAATACATAACAATGAATCATCATATAATCTTTTTTTTCTTAGAAATTAAAATTTAGCAGCACATGTAATTCAGACTTAAACAGATGCAAGTCTGCTGTTTTGCTAGTCGTTCATAAATCACGGCTCAGTAATACAGAGGCCTGCTGTGATTGGTTGCAGTAATGCAAAGCAAAGCTGTGATTGGCTAAAGAGGTGCACAGAACAGTTGTGATTGGCACACACATACACACACTTATTATTCAGGTCGTAAAGCTGCTGTGTGCCATTTTTTGGATGTTAAAACACTAAAATAATGCTTAATATGCAGAAACCACTATAAAGAAACAATCCTTATTTTCACAAATTCGTTTAGTGACGCTAATGGCTCATAAATTACACACTGCAGCTTTAAACAGCATTATGACCAATCAGTGCTTTTTAATAACGTGTAAAGTTGAAGGGAAATGTGTTCAGCGAACCAAGCAAGCAAGGTTAAACAGAACAAAAAGTCGACTAGAGCAGGAAAGCACATAACTCTTCACATTCAGTGATCTTGATTTCCTAAGTTTGATATATGGTCATAAATGCATCAAGTTCATATCTCATGCGTAAGTGTCTTTTTGCGTTCAACTTTCAGTTTAGAGCTCCCACGATGCCTGTAAATCCTCCTCCGTGACTAGACTAATGGAAACACTAACATATGTATGTAAATGACGCGTAACTAAAGGACAATGTGCTCACTGTAAAACACTAGAGATGCACAGAACAGTCATTTCTCACTGTATGCTCTGAACGTCGAGTGAAACTCTGAGATTTGGTTCCACCTCATAAAATCAAGCCAAACTCTGGACTTCACAGAACATTACATTCAGAGTTGCCATCAGAAGTCTCTTAAACCCAGTGCTTTTGCTTTAACAATGTCTGGAGTTCACTAGGACGTCAATGTGAAATCAGAATCAGCCCTGTGTACTAAATGAATCCTTTAACAATTCATTAGTGCACATTATTTGTATATGATCTTCATAATCTTCCATCAAAACGTAATTATATCTAAAACTATTTTCTTTTTGGACGTCACCGATCGCCCTTATTTTTTATCATCTAGTGACCTATCTAGTCATCTAGTTTTTCCAATTTCCTTTGGATAAAACTAGGGCTGCACGATAAATCTCATGCGATATTTAATGCGCATCTTGTCAGAAAGCCGGTTCTGTAATGTCACTAAACCGGAACAACAGAATGAGAGATTAGAGATCACTAACCATTTCCATCCATCGTTCTGTCCATCCACCCATCCATCCATCCATCCATCTATCAATTCACCCATCCATTGATTCATCTATCCATCCATCCATTGTTCTATCCATCAATCCATCTATTCCATCCATCCATCCATCCTGTCCATCCATCCATGTATGCATATATCCATCCATTGTTCTATCCAATCATCCATCCATCGTTCTTTCCATTCATTCATTCATTCATTCATTCATTCATCTAGACATCCATCCATCCATCGTTCTGTCAATCCAATCATTCATTCATCCATCCATTTATCTATCCATCATTCTGTCCATCCATCCATCTATCCATCCATTGTTCTGTCCATCCATTCATTCATCCATCCATCATTCTGTCCATCCATCCATCCATCCTGTCCATCCATCCATGTATGCATATATCCATCCATTGTTCTATCCAATCATCCATCCATCGTTCTTTCCATTCATTCATTCATTCATTCATTCATCTAGACATCCATCCATCCATCTATCTATCCATCCATCATTTTGTTCATCCATCCATCCATCATTCTGCCCATCCGTTGATCCATCCATCCATCATTCCATCGATCGATCGATTCATCCATCGATCCATCCAACGTTCTGCCAATCCAATCATCCATCCATCCATCCATCCATCATTCTGCCCATCCGTTGATCCATCCATCCGTTCGTCCATCCATCCATCATTCCATCCATCCATCGTTCTGCCAATCCAATCATCCATCCATCCATCAATCTGCCCAGCCATCCATCATTCTGTCCATCCATCCATCATTCTGTCCATCCATCCATCAGTCCGTCCATCCATCCATCCATCCATCCGTCCATCCGTCATTCATCCATCCATCATTCTGTCCATCCGTCCGTCCATCCATCCATCCATCCATCCATCAAAAAGCACCATAGAAAAGCATCCCTCAAATGCTTCTATTATTCCCATGGAGAGTATGTATGTAATTTATCTTGCTGATAAACTTTGATTTGACTCACATTTACAGTCACGGCTGTTCTTGGTGAGCTGAAATCCAGGTCTGCACTCACAGGCGATGCTTCCTTTGGGCGTCTCTCTGCAAATGTGGGCACAGCCATGATTTTTATCCATGCAGGTGGGCACGTCTTTAGTTCCATTAAAACGCACTGCAGAACATAAAGAAAGAAGAAAACATGCATCCTTGATGAATAAAAGTTAAATTAAAGTTAATTTCTTTCCTTAAAAAAAATTACTGACCCCAAACGTTTGAACAGTAGAGGATATGCATATTAAAAATGAAATACAGAATGTATTGGCTTCACTCAAAATTTTCACTCAGAAAAAAAGTCTGAAAAACGTGGACATTTTAAACTTTTGACACTTTCGGTAAGGAAACATTTAAGCTACTCTCAGGAACAGTAGCTTTTGGATTTCCTTCAGTTTACCCACAAATCTGAGCCCAAATACACACACACACACAGTACACAAACATACCTGTGAACGTACAGTATACTAAAATATACATACAAGTTTGACTTGCAGCATATACAAGATTCACAGCTCTGTTTAAGAATGTCTGAATTCAGCTCTGTTTAAGAGCGTTTGAATATCTGGTTCTGCTCGGTGAGAAAAGTACCAGTCGTTAAGAATCAGAGAAACAGCCCAAACCCGGGTGAGCGTTGCTTTTCTTTGCCTGACCCCAGATCAGAATCATGTTCAGCAGTGTTTGAACTGTAAGAGGAGAATGAAAGCACCCCACTGACTTCAGACCCCAGGATGCATCTGTGTCAACAGACCCGCGGCACCCTGGGAAAGCAGCAGAAAGAGCCGCGGGGAGTTGAAGGGAGCGTATGTATCCAAGGTTATAAGAAAACAGCTTATATCACATTTATCTGAAAGGTGTCACTTATATATGCAGCCAAACCTCAAGAAATAAACTTTACAGGAAAAACATGTCATGATAAAATTATTTGTTCATGAAAGCAATGAAAAATTAAATGGAAAACGGCAATATTCTACATGTCATCTTCCTACTGTTTATTGCATACTCCTCTATTTAGTAAAGTATGTGAAATTATAATATTTCAAACACTAGTATGATATATTATATTATATTATAAATTGACTATGAAGTATAGCAAGTGCAGGAAGTCGCAAAGTCTCATGTCATTTAAAAATAAATAAATACATAAATGAGCCCAGACACCAACAGCCTAGTAGGGTTAATTATTTAAATACTTAACTACAAATTAAGCTAATTAGTAATGGCGCTTTGAATAAATATAGCCAAAATCCGTCAAAATCCCACCAAATCCGTTGCCATGACTTCTCGCGAGAGGCAAAAGGTTACGTTTTAGCTCATGTCATTTAAAAATAAATAAATACATAAATGAGCCCAGACACCAACAGCCTAGTAGGGTTAATTATTTAAATACTTAACTACAAATTAAGCTAATTAGTAATGGCATAATAAATAAAAATTCATGCATTACATATTTTTAATTTTTTTTAGATTTAATTTAAAAAACTGCATTTTTCAAACATTGCCTAAAAAAGACACATCAAAAGGAGTGCTTTAAGTTAATTGAACAAAACTCTAATAGTATCTACTAAAATAACCCTGGTCCAGTTTTAATCCCAGAAAAACATTTATTGTGCATTTTAAATCTTCTGTAAAACTGCTTTACTAGGCTGGTTTCCATTACCCTTCAAATTGCGCAAATTGAAATTGCGAATTGAAAATACGCCTAATGGAAACGCATCAATTTCGCAAAAACGCCCATATATCGCAAAAAAAGTTTTTACGCTCGCATGAGGTGGATTTTCAGGCAATGC